AAAGGACACTGTCATCAGAACAAAACAGCCTATCAACTGGGAAAGGATCTTCACCAACCCTATATGACAAGGGCTACTATCCAGACTATATGAAGAACTTAAGAAGTTGAACACCAACAAACCAAGTAATCCAATTAAAAGATGGAGTACAGAACTAAACAGAGTTCTCAATAGAAGAATATCAAATGGCATAGAAATATTTAAAGAAATGTTAAACATCCTTAGTCATCAGGGAGATACAAATCAAAATATTTCTGAGATGTTACACCCAGCAGAATGGCTAAGATTAAAAACTCAAGTGACAAAATGTTTGAGAGGATGTAGAGAAAGGAGAACCCTCCTCCATTTCTGGTGGGAATGTAACCTTGTAAAATCACTTTGGAAATCAATCTGGCACTTTCTCAGAAAATTAGCAATAGTGCTACCTCAAGATCCAGCTATATCACTCGTGGGCATATATCCAAAATATGCTCAACTACACTACAAGGACATTTGCTCAACCACGTTCATAGCAGCTTTATTCAAAAGAATCTGGAAACAACCCAGATGTCCCTCAACAGAAGAATGGATACAGTATTGTGGTACATCTACACAATGGAATACTACTTAGCAATTAAAAACAAGGAAAGCATGAAATTTGCAGGCAAATGGTGGGAACTAGAAAAGATCATATTCAGTGAGGTAACCCAGAAGCAGAAAGACACACATGGTATATACTCACTCATAGGTGGTTATAAGATATATAACATAGGATAAATCTATACTCCTAAAGAAGCTAAACGACAAGAAGGACAGAAGGTAAACACAATAGATATCAGAAGCAGGAGAAGACAGGGAACAGGACAGGAGCCTACCACAGAGGGCCTCTGAAATACTCTACTGATCAAGGTATTGAAGCAGAGGCTGAGACTCAGCCAAACTTTGGGCAAAGGGCATGGAATTTTATGAAAGAAGGGGGAGATAGTAAGACTTGCAGGGGTCAGGAGCTACAAAAGGAGACTAACAGAGCAAAAAATAACCCGGGCCCTAGGGGCCCTGCAGAGACTAATACCCCAACCAAGGATACCACATTCATGGAGCGGAACTAAAACCTCTGCCCAGATGTAGTCCATTGACTCAGTCTCCAAGCGGATTCCCTACTAAGGGGAGCAGGGACTTTCTCTGGCATGAACTCAGTGGCTGGCTCTCTGAGCACCAACCCCTGGGGAGTGCAGCCTTGCCAGGACACAGAGGAAGAACTGATGAGACCTTATAGGCTAGTGTCAGAAACTCCTTATCAGTGGACTAGGGGAGGGCTACAGGGGTAGAAGAGGGAAGGAGAGTAGGATTGTTAGGAGATGAGGGAGGGCGCCACAGCCAGGATACAAAGTGAGCAAATTGTAATAAATAATGAATAAATTAATTAAAAAAAGAAAATCATGAGATGACCAAGTCATTAAGATCACGTCCTTTAGATGCATCAGGTTGGTAAATTTGCGTTCTAATTCTGCCAGCCATGGGCAAAGTGTTTGGACAAAGCTATTAGCTTTGTGTGCTTAGGCAATGTAAGTATTTAGCTCCATTTCCCAATATGGAAAACATAGGTAATAATAGCTATTTGTATATTTAATTGTGAAGTTAAGGTAGATGATCACACACAATAGTCATGCTCTTATTTTAACCACCTCTACCCGTAGCTCCAGTGTGGCTTGTGTGTTGAGGGCACCACTTCATTCTGGCCCACTGAAACTGCCTACATTCCTCTCTTTGTTTGAAGCCACCCTCCTTCCTTCTGCAGCTTAGACCTGGGGGCTGATATTCAAAAGGTCCCTTTTGGAACCTTAGTCCAACATGAGATGAATCTGATGGCCCATGCCTGCTTGCTGGCTCTGTATGGTGTTGAGTGAGAAGGATGGAGGAACTATATCACAGTTTGGCCTGTCTCTTCTCGATCCTCCCTTCTTCCTTTCGTGGTCCCAGGGTTGGTACACACAGCTTCTCAGCATCCTGTATACTGACCTGCAGCCCACAGTCAGCCTTCAGGGACATATCTTGGGAATCTAAGCTGTCAAGAGAAGTCACCTCCGTTCTTGGGTGACACCCTATAGCCTGGTGTCTGATCACCAGGGGTCCATCTTGTCTCATTTGTCTTTTGTGCACTCTAGGGTATTTTGAAGGACAGTGGCAGCAGTACCTCTGGGATGCATTCAGCTTCTAGGTTATTTTAAAAGGCCCTGAGGTCCAGGGCCCAGAAAGCCCTTAGGCAATGGGACTGCAATTTTCCTAAGGCTTGGGTAAAGTGACTTTAGTTACCCGCTCAGTATTAGATGCTTTCCCTCTTGCAGACCAGTCTGGACAACAAAGGTTGAAAACAAGAGACAAAACTTGGGGAGTCCCTCTTAGGCTCTGGAAACAAGCTTGTGGGACCCTGAATTCCTCCACTGCGTATAGGGTGCAGAGGTTTCACAAAGATACCAATTTCAAGTGACACTGTCTTTTTCTCCTTGTTTAATGTTTTTCTTTGAATGTGCACATTCATGTTTTTGCAGGTTTGGGCATATCTGCACGTATGTATGTGGAGGCCTTAGTTGCTCTTCTCAGGAGCATTCACTTTATCTGAAGAGAAAGGAGCTCTCATCGACCCAGGGCTCACCAAGTAGGCTAGGCTGGCTGGCCTCCACACCATGGAGATTAAAAGCAGGCAACACTATGCCTAACTTTTTACCTGGGACTCCGGGTTTGAATGGAGTTCCTCATTCTTATGTGCAATCACTTTATTCTTTGAGTAGGATCTCCTTTTTCAAAACAATTGGACTGTGTGGTGGTCTCAGGACTCCTTGTTTACTTTGTAATATCCCACATACTGCCTCCATTCTTTCTCCTTTTCAGACACAAGCTCTTCTTGTGCAATATAAAAGAAGACACTTAAATTCATAGAAGACACTGGTTTACTCTCTCAGGGAATGACAGTTTAAAGCAAAGTTTGAAAAATGAATGAATTCTAAGAAAAAATAAAACATGCTAGTCCACTCACATTATATCCAATGGTCTAAAAGTACTCTTAATGTCCTTCACTAATTGTTTTCATGAAGAAAAGATGAACCTAATCTGATAGTCATTTCAGTCTTCTACTCTGTTCTTCACGATTCACCATCTTATCACTCCAACACCCTTCTTATGTGCATGCATAATCACACACACACACACACACACACACACATACACACACAAACACACACACACACACTTTCCAATTAGTTTCAAAGAAAGCTCAAAGATGATGCTCTAGTTTGGACTATGAGATATTTTCTTTACATTACACAGACATTTTAAATTTTGTTCTATTTAAATATCTAATTCATTATGAAACTATGTAATTGTATCATGTAAGCATAGGCACCCATTCTGACTTTTCACTAGAAAATGCATCATTGGATAAATCAATTTTAGACATGCTGTTTAATGAAATTATTGCATTGTTTATCACCTTTGTGTTTTCTGCATTGTAGCTATGCTTTCTGTTGTTACCGTCTTGGTCAGTGTAACAGTTTTATTGTCAACTTGACATGTCTGGTATCACCTAGGGAAAGAGTGTCAGTGAGGCATTGGTTGTTTTCCTCAGGTTGGCCTCTGAGCCTGCCTGACAGGGAGTATCTTGATTAAATTAAATGAGATAGAAAAACTTGCCCGCTGTTGGTGGCACCATTCTCTTGGCAACCATCCTGAACTGTGAACAACTGAGAAAGTGAGCCGTGCTCTAGTGTGATACATTACTTTACTGTTCTTTGCTCTTACCTGTCAAATCAGTGACACTGGCTGCTCAAGTTCCTACCACACTAACTCCCCACAAATGATGGACTCTAACCTCAACCCTTTGTCCCTTAATATATATTTGTCAGGGTTCCTTATCACAACAGGAAATGAAAGTAAGGTAGTTTTGTGTTTGTTTTCTTCAATCAAAACCACCATGCTTTAAAGGACTTAGTAAGGTGTCACAGATGCAAGTTAACAAGCAACAAATCCCGGAAACTTCTCTGACAGCATTAATGGCATGGAATTTGGATTCAAAGAGTGTGGGCCCTGGCTCTAGCCCTACCAGCTGCAACTGGAATACGCTGCTGCTTGGGCAAACAGCATTCATTCTCCTTGCTGTCTGGGTAGAGAAGGGGCTGGAGGATGAACGTGTGCTTGCTTCTCCTTACTGCCTCCACAGAGCAGGAGCTGTGCCTGTGTGTCAGCAGTGAACTGAGGAAATCAGGAACCTTTAAGAACCTGTGATTTCTCTTTACGAATGGGTGTGTATCTCCTTTGAACCTGGAGAGCAGCCTGAAAGTAGATCAACTCCTCTCTCAGACACTGGACTGCAGGATAATCATAAGGCAGAAGGACCTACAGACTGACTTCTAGTGCTGGTTTGTGTCATTTTAAAGCCAGACTGAATAATTAAGACCATTATCCAAAAGGACAAAGAAAAGACACTTTCTGTTCCTTTCAACTACTAACTCTCAATTAATGCATTTTTCTTGAAAAATAAAGAATTTGCTCTACCCACATGGAGGCTCTAAATGCACTGTGCGTGCATTATGCTTGATTATATCTATTTCACTTTCGCCATTCAAGTATTTATGCTGGCAGTATAGTAACAGGAATGCATTTATTTTCGGGCGGGTTGAGGGGAGAGCCAAGGGGAAAAAAAATTCAGTTTTACCCTGAATGTGGCCAGTCTCATCTGATTTTTCTTTTCTTTTCTTTCCTTTTTTTTTTTTTTTTTTAGGTCAAGACTTTAAGATTTAATCTAGATGAAACCTAATCCTGCTTTTTCCTTTATATTATTTAAATGTTTTGCCACAAAAAGATATAAATGCGTTTAAAAATAATTATAATAGGCAACTCATAATGACGTTTTGCTCTTTATTCTTTTACTAGTAAACGGTATCTTGTATTAGTAACTACTGTTAAAACTTGTATTTTTAAATAGTCTGTGATTAAAGTCTCCATCTGACAACTTTTGTGACATACAGGTTAGAGAGGAATCCCTGAAGAAGCGTACACGAGCTGAAATAAGTAAGGGGATAGAGGTTCAGGTAATACTAATTTTGCTTTTGCATTTTCTTCTTCCTTTAATTTGCATTTTACTTAGCATTTTAAATTTGCCTGTAATGAGGCATCTTTTGTCACCACTTGGTTTGCAAGCCAGCACTTTTTCTCTCCTTCGCTGATGACAGTTGGCCTCTGTGTACAACTAGACTGTCTGATCATGCATAAAGAAACTGACCTCCCATGCACATATCTCATTTTGTGGCTTAATGGGAATTTCTGCCAGTCTAGTGAAAGGGCAGTAGGCTTTTCTTCCTAACTGTCTAACTCTTTAGTTTGCTTTCTGATGATGTTACGTTTTCTTTACTTTGAGTGTCTCTCACTGGAATTTCTTTATTTAACCCTGAAAAAAAAATATGCTATGATATTTCTACAGAAAAATCTTTGGAATGGAAGTATGATAACTAGCCAAGCCAAGTTTAGTTTTTCAGTCTTGCTTATTCTTTTGAACCAAGCTTTGGTACTCTAATCTGTTGCAGAATGCTTCTCCTTCAGAAATGCATGTCTGTGAAGTTGTGATTGTTAGGATAGGAAAATGAAACTCACAAGGCAAAAGGGTCCATATTCATGTGATGTGAGATTCTCTGCATCCTTAATCTAAATCTATAAAACAAAGGCAAATTTGGGGATTTTTTTTTTCTGTAGTATTTACAGATGTTTCCTCAACGTTTTCAAAGTCAGCTGAGTCTTTTTTTTTTTTTTTGCCTAATGTTTTCTTACACCCTCTCTGCTCGTTGATCACTTTTGTCTTACACTGAAGGAATGAGATATGTTCAAATGTGTTTAACAAGCTGAACTTTCCCTCATTGATCCCCAACAGGTGCTTCAGAATGTTTGATCTTTGTTATCTATTTTTTTCTCTCTCATTTGTTCGATAACTACACCCTGTCTAAAATATTGTAGTCTCACTGTTGCTTTTCTACAGAGGACTGTGCTATTTCATTCTCAAACAATAGCACTGAAACAGTTTCAATAAATGCATGCATAATTAACAATGAATGAATGAATGAATGAATGAATGATTTGCAGTATTGGTTGGCAGAAAGAACTGTTTTCCACTGAAGAATATCAGTTCAACGAGGTGCAGGAGTTTTTGAAAAAGAAAGCACTGTATATTTTGGCTTTGTCAGAAGTAGAAATTCCGCTGCGAGACATAGAAACAGAACTTGTGAGGCTCAAAGACGTCCACCAACATCACTCCGATGTAAGCATTTGCAATAATTCATTATATAAGCATTAATTCATAATTAATCACTCATTTTCAGGAATATTTAGGTCACTAAGTAACGTATGTGAAGATATATACATATGTAGAGAGAGAATCATGGCTTTGTATAGGAAGATAACAAGTCCTCCAAATTACTATTTCATAATCACACTATTAATTCATTTAAGAACTGTCTGGCAAGACGCATTGTCTACAACTCTATAATCTATCTTACACTATACTTAGGGCAAACTGCTTTCAAATTGAGTGAGCAGTGACTGACCTGGTGAGCTTGCACAGCACAAAGAAAGCACTTAATTCAATCTCCACTGCTTCTTAATGGGATGCTAAAAATTATGTTGACTTGAATATAAAATATGAGGAATCTTGACATTTTCCAGGTAAGTTTTTGGTGCATGTAAAAGTTAAGACAGCTAGGGTGAAAAATAAAGCAAATGTAGATAAAATATTTTCAAAACTTCAAGTTTCTGTCAGTAACTGATACTACTGGCCCTTCCCAAAGGGGGAAAAATCTTTGTACATGCTATCATTTATCTTTCAGAGAGGTGGAGGGTGTGGCAAGAGCCATATATTCTTGTTTTTCTCTGCAGGGAAGACACACATATAGTTTGGGCAATTTGGCAATATTGTGTTTTTTTTTTCTTTCTTGAAAATGATGGTGTAACTTTGGGCATTTGGTTATTAATACTTCTCAAAATGTCTTTGTTTTTAAAATGTGAGTTGTAGTGCATCTCTGTTAAAATTATGTATCATGACTTTCAAAGTCTCCCTATGGAATAGGCAAGAAGGTGTTTCCATGTGTTATAAACTATAGAAACCTTGAGCCTAACCAGGTTGAGCAAATGGAGACTTCTAAATGGGATCCCATGCACATGTGGCATAGCTAGTACTAGAGAGATGGGTGGTTTTAATAATGACTGTCTCTTATACTGATGAGGAGGACTTACTAAGTATATAAAGCATCTCAGTGTTGTTGTCGGAGTAAAATGTTTCCCACCAGCAAACAATGATTTTTGTTTTCCCTTCTTATTCCAATAGTCATGGTTTTATATCTTCTTCTTGCTCATCCATCATTTATTATATGCTTTAATAGCTAATAAATGATAAGAACTAGTCATTTAGCACAAAGGTAGGCTTTTTCACATTTTCTTTTTGATAATGGTTTCCAACAATTTGTGTTTAGATTTTCAATTATAATTAAAATACTTTAAATTTTACAATGAAATATCATAATTTATAGTATGGTCATCCTCTTTGTTTATTTAACTGAAACAGATTAGACTTTTCATCTCTTAGATAATGCAAACAAAATACTGGGATTTGAGGTGTCATAGCCTGGAACTCATAGGTGTGATCCTTTCCTTTCATACTCTAAAATAAACATTGTGATTATTAGGATAGTCACTACAAAATACCTAAACCAGAGTAAGTGCAACACAAATGTTATACAATTTAAAATCTGCATGTCTTCTAGGCACTTGAGCAGATATATGAGAGGAGACTCACCGTTAAACGGAGAGTAGAGGCAACAAAGAAAAAATTATTAAGAAAAAGGAGACATAGCCGTAAGGAACTCACTAAAACTGAGGTGAAAAATTCAATTTTCAATTTATAATTTATCACATCAATAAAAAATTATCAGTCAGATGTAATTGTGGGAAGATTTCTTGTGTTTTGAATTGCTCTGCCTACATGGGCTCTGCACACACATGCACATACATAACACACACACACACACACACACCCTGCATCCATGCAGCCTGTCTTTCTGACTGCTCTAGTTTAGAAGGCACAAAGTCTTTAGCACAGAAAAACATTCCAGAGCAACCCAAAATTTATACTGGGTTTATGCAAGAATCCACTGCTCTCTGTAAACACACCCTGACCTCTACTTTCAGTTTCAAGGAAGCAATGAAGAAGAAGAAAAGTGAAAGGTGGAAGGAAAGAAAGGCTGGTGGGAAGGAGAAAAAGAACAACATTGGTGCCCTCCAATCATTCTTCTTTCAAATAGTTTCTGCTCTTGGGGGTAGTTTAGCAGGCCTAACAGCCCTTGTCGGGCCCTTAGGACTCTACCCTCATAACTGGATCAATGCCTTTCAAAACCATCCATGGAGCCCAAGCTCACGCTTTTCCCCATGTGAACACACCAAAAACAGATAGCATCCTTGAAAGAATGCAAGCCCTCAGCAGACATAAAATCTGCTTGCCCTTTATTTCTGAACTTCTCAGTCCATTTTACAAGAAGAAATAAACGTTCACTGTTTATAAACTACCCATCTCATTATGTTTTACTAAACTAACATGAGTGACCTAAAACAAGAGGAAAGGAAAATGGAGGGGAAGCACATAGAGGAAGGAAGAGATACCAGGAAGGGAAGAGAGAGAAAGGCCTACAAAACTTTTAGCCTTAAATCTAGTAATGTGATTTTTTTTCAAGTTACAAAATCACTTATCAGAAATTTACTTACCAACTAGAAAGTGTATTCAGATGCAGCACTTCAAATCATTAACATAATTATTATAACAATGATGTATGATTTGGCCAAACAGATTATTAGTTTAAAAGATTTAAAATCCACAATTTAAAAATTTTAAGTCATTTACTAGAAATGTTGGTTTTAGAAAGCATCTTCATTTAGATCAAGTCATTCTTTTCTATCCTTCTTATTTTGATCATGCATACAACTACTTTAATTTAGTCAACTTTGGCCAGTAATATGACAACACGCCACTCTATTAACTCGGGGGGAACACGTTAACCCTATTTTTATTGGTGGTAATTGCACTGGATCTAGGGTTCTTAGTTATACAATAACCTATTGGGGCTCATCTTACCTAAAAGACATCTCAACACAGAATTCATTTCCCAGAACCACCAGGAGAAATGGAGCTGACGAAATGCTGTTTTGAGGCCTTGTTTGAAAGATAAGAGAAAGTGTTTACTTAGCCACCTGGCCAAGTCCCTTGTGTGTGTGGGTAAACACCAGTGTATGCTGTGTGGTTTAGTGGAGTGAGGGAAGCCTGGTGTGGAAGCAGGTGGGAGAGCCAAGAGGAAAGGGTCAGTTTCTGTCCTTTAAGGACGCTCATCTGGAAAAATGGAGCGCACAGGCTTACACTGCTAAGGAACTGCTACTCTTTTATTATCTACGTAACCTCTTTAACAGTGTCTATAAGTGAAAATATTTGAAAATCTAAGTGTTAAAAATAAACATCTTTAAAATATTTTTCCCCAGGGGAGAGTTTCAATAATACATCAAAAAATAGAGTCAAATAAAATCAAAACAATTGTCTTCAATACAAAATGCAAGGAACTGGAAAAGCAGATAAACCTTATGGAAGTGGAAAAAAATCATTTTGAAGATAAACTTGAAAAGTTAAAGTAAGTTCTGCCACAATAATAATCATATTTATTATAATTAATAAAATCAGATTTCTATATTTAAATTTTATTTCTAAGTTGGTTCATGTGTTTCCTCAGAATTTTATCTGAAATGTATGTGATAATATATGATATTTAATCACTTTAATGCATATAAGTATAATTATAGGTTGCTTTCATTCTTTATTTCTCTCTGAAGTTTGTTCTTATTTGAATAACTGGGGATAGTTCTTCTTTCCCACATATATATAAATCTTCTTTCTTGATTATTTATAACATCTTTCATTAATTCAGTACAGTGTTTGTGAGCCATGTTTAATAATTTGTGGTTTACCCCTTAATAGGTAACACACACACACACACACACACACACACACACACACACACACACATTAGCATAGTCAGCACATGGGGGATAATTTGTTAAAATATAAAAGTGTGCCTGGGAGATAGCAAAATGGATAAATCCTTACATGTGCCTACTGGACAGCCTGAATTCAATTCCCAGCCTTAGCACAGAAGAGCCCCTGACCCCACACAAAAGCTTTCACTCCCATCCATGCACATCACACACATTCACATGCACACACATGCACATACAAATGCACACACACACACACACACATGCATGCAAGCACACTTACACACACACACACACACACACACACACACACACACACACGCGCGCGCGCACACATAACTGTGTGCAGCCTAGTACCAGATCTTTAGCGGAGTCAAGCCAGTCCACCCAACAGGGCTTTATTTAGTGATTAGTCTAAGGGAGCAAAGTGCTTTCAATGTGATGGTGGTCATACAGCTATTATCGGCAAAAGAGTAATTTATTTTTGTCATATCAGGTAAAAAAAAAAGCCAGAAAACACATTGCTTGAACTGTTAGTCCATTATCTAATATCTGAAAGAATATTATGGGTCTGAAAGATACAAACTTAAAAACGATATAGGTTACACTAAACTTAAAAAGATTTAAGTTTGGAAAGCATATTCCATTCAGGTTTTGTATTGGGTGCGTGTGTCATTGCCATGCCCTGACAAAAGTCCCCATGTCTGTGCTGCCCCTCGGTGATTTTTCTCTGTTCTGATCACAGCTCTGTGTTAGCAGTCATTCCCTAAGCCTGTTTATCATTGCTGCTATCATCTTATGTACTTCCCGGTGCTTTTTAAAGACTCACGGTTTCCCCTTCATAGCCACCGAGTTCACACGTGAAACTCTGTCCACACAGGGATGAGTTCATAAAGCTGAGATTTGACAGGGAGCACGTGCAGGCTGTGCAAAACATTCTCCTGGAGGAGAAGGAGATGTGTCAAGCAAGAGTCTTTGAGGAGAACAAGAAGTTCCAGAAGATCTTTGAAATGAGGCAGAGCACGCTGAACACCATCTGGGTGAGTCCTGCCGGAAACATAACGATAGTCAGATAAGCAGCAAGGTTGTCGTTGTTATTATTATTATTATTATTATTATTATTATTATTATTATTATTATTATTATTAT